TTTTTTTTTTTTTTTTTTTTTTTTTTTTTTTAAAAATTTGTTTTTTTTTTTTTTTTTTTTTTTTTTTTGGCAAAAGTCCGTTTCTTTTTATTTTTATTTAACCTTCTAATCGGACAGGTGGAAGCGTTGTTAGATTCTTTTGAAAGTTTTATAAAGAGAAGGAAGGAAGAGAGTATTCTAAGCACAGAGTGAAAAGAAGTCTAAAAATGTTCAACAATGTTCAAACGGAAAAAATTTGGCAGTGACAACAGTCACTGGCTGTAAAGCATTTAAAAGAATGTTTTGACTAAAAGAGTGTTGCAGTATAATATTTTGACGATCTATATCCTCTAAATTTTATCACTGTCTACTTTTTATTAACAAAAAAGAAAACAAAAATAAAATTTAAAGTGAACAATAATTTTTTTAGAGTGACATAAAATCATAAAATCTTGGTTTTTAAATTTAATGTTTCTTTTATACAAGCCAAGCTATTATACTGTCTTATCGTTTGTTAGTGGTTACTTTTCCACGTGGAATTGAAAATAAATGAAGCATTTGAAACAACAATTTAGTAGGATTTAGTTTTTAATCATCTTTGGTTGGTGTGTCAAAGATTCTCCATTGCTCAGGTATTGATGTGCAAAGTTTGACGCAAATGGCATGCGATGCGCGGATGATGGATGCTGATGCTCGAGGTGCTACTGTGCAAACCATTGCCGGACACATGGAAGATGCATTGGAGATACAGCGCGAGGTATCTACAAATTCTTATTATTTCATTAAAAATTGAATCGGAATTTTTTTTTCAAAAAAAAGACTGAAAAATAACAAAAGCTGTTGTAAAGAAACCTGGCAAACATTACGAATTAGCTGACATTCAGCTGGCATTTTGCTACACGTGAAAAACCGGTAAAGTAAACGGCTGAGCAGCCATGGAGAATGAAAAATCTGTTTTTAGATTACAGACATATCAGGATTTTGCGTAGGCCGACGGTGGAGTTCATATGTGACTTGTCTGTATATTTTTATAAAAACTTTATATTTCGCAAATGCTGTTGGTCAGATTGCTTTGCTGAATTGGTTTTTGGGAACCGAAAATGTTTTTTATGGTATTGCAATACTACAGCAGTTGTTACAGAAACAAACGTGGAGGACGACGGAACACTTTCCCCGGGTAACAATGTGTGATTTTGAGGCAAGTTGATGACAAATCAACCAGAATTCTCTGCATTCATTTTTTGAGAACACTGATCGTACTATCACTTTACACCTACAGTTGACGCTAAATAGTTGAATGTTAGAAATAACAAAAAGTTTTTTTTTAATTATGCTACTTAAACTGTAGCTGATTTTGTTTTATCACCTTGAATATCACTGCTTAGCAGTAACCCTGACAACGGATACTATAGAAAATCTTTATATGGGGTATCAATAAGTTTGAATAAGCAAGTTAGCCTTGATGTTAGAAATGGCAACAAGATAGGAGAACTTACAGAACTGCACAACATTTTTCTGCCAACTTCTTTTCTGGCTTTTTAGTATTATATTTTTTGACAGTTTTTAGGTTCGAGTACTGGGGAACATTCATCAGCATACCGTACAATGTGTTCTTATGATAAATATGTTTAATGAAAAGATTTTCATATTTCTGTGGTTTTGGTATTTATTTGTGGCAATATTTAGTGCCTTTTCATTATTTCACTGGATACTCTTATCATTTCTACCTGGTCAGGTACGTGCTCTGTCTAACAATATTTTTGCTATTTTTTATTACTGATTAATTTACTGTTTTCCATTTACTTTTATGTTTTTAATTTTTTTAGTAAATCTTAATTTTATTTTTATTCGATGCAGACTGCACATTAGCTGACAGCAGTGATGACGATTAGCCAAGATTATCAAAAACAAAAGATTTGAAATTGAGTTACAGAAAATTGTTAGTTTTCAATTGTTTCTATCTGAATTGCTTTCTTACTGGCTTTTAAACTTTGCCTTCACCTGAACTACATTGCAAATGTTTAAAAAAAAAAAAGAAATTAGAGAAAAGCAACAAAAAAAAATCTGGTATTTTATATAATACAATTTTTTTTATATTTTTTACGCTAAATAAAAGAAAAAAAACGAAGTAGAAAAAAAATGTTAACCTTTTTTCATTTTCCTCTCTTTTTTCTAACTTATATTTTACCTAATTTTTTCAATTGAATTTTTACATCTTTCGTTTTTCGTAAGCTCCGCTCACCTTCGTTTCAGTCGTCGTTGTCGCCTTCCTCTTCTTCTTCTTTCCCTGGTAGCTGCTGAAATTTATTTAGAATGAAAGTTAATGGCTGAGAAGTGCAGAAAGAATGAAGAGAAATAAAAGAAACTAGAGAAAATTATGGCTGCAGCTACTTTCTTTTTTTTGAAAGTGAAAAACCGCTTGATTCTCTATCCAAAACGAGTAGAAATTGGTTGACATTTTTTACTGTGCTGATTAGGTAGACTTTACCAAAAAATGGAAGAAAGCGGCAGTAAAATTCAACTTTTAGCATAATTTATAGTGTGCATTAATTTTCAAAGGTGTCAAAAAAATAATTAGAACCTGCTCCTTCTGATATAAAGAAGTTCCAAACAAAAATTTTGGGTTTTTTTCACAACATTACTTTAAAGTGTAGCTACTAAAAAAGATTTTCATTTTTGCATTTAGCTGTAGGTACGAATATTGTTTGATAAAAACCGAGAGATTTTTCTGTCTATTTCATTTTCGAGGAGATAGCTCGATAAGTACCACTAAAATACGAGTGCAATGTTTACCACACATCACTGAGTTTGTTGGCAAGTAAAAATTTAATTCAAAATTAAGAGAAAAACAATTTTGAAATTTTAATTCAATACTTTTTAGAAAAAATGAGAAAACTTTTAAGTTGTCTTTGTAAAAGAAAGCACAAAAACTGTTTGTCTAAAAAAAAAGCTTTTTTTTTGATAACGTATTAAATCAGCTCAAAGAGATTTTCACTATATTTTCATCCGTAGCTGTATTTTCCATTGCTGTTTTTGCTGTGTGTTGTTTATACAGCTTAAATAATATCCGTTTGTAGACAAGATCTCAGCTCTAATTAGAAGATATTTGTAAATTTAAAGATTAGAACAATTTTTGTTGCTCAGATAAAGCTGAACAAAGTTCTGTTAATGAGTGATTCTGTTGTTGTGGACAGATGAAAACGCCAGCTTTTTTTTCTTCTACAGCATATGCGATTCATTCGGAAATATTTAAAAGCTACTGATTTGGCAACCGATCGACAGTCGGTGAAAAAATTTGTACACAAATTCTTGGGCTATGATGGCGTATTTTGTATGCGAATGATCAGTGCACATGCCGGCGATATAATTGCTACCGAGCTAATTGTCGCTCTATGGCATGATTTCAATGATAGGTTTGCAACAAGTGATTTTTTCGCTTCAAAGCTATTTACTTAGCATTTTCTAACAGAAACTCTAAAAGATTTTTGTTTCTTTAGTTAATTCTTATTTTTTTCCTTCTTTTTTATTTTTTGCTTTTTCTATGTTTCATTTTTTCACTTGCTTTTTGCTGCAGCTACTGCCTCATTTGTACTGTCTGAAATAGATAAGTATTGTATGCTAATACGTTAGGCGGGTTTCAATGTTGTCTTAAAAAAATGAACAAAACCTTTTATAACAAATTTTTACAAAAAATTTACAAGAACAGCTGCAACAAGAGAGTAATCTAGTAGTTGAATAAAGCAATTGAAAAGCAGCGGAAGGAAAAGTGTTTAATAGTTTTTCCTCTTTTTTCCTTCCTCTTTCAGTTTTATTCTTTAAAGCGTTTACTGTGTGATTTTATAAAAAACAAAAAAAAAGAAGACAAAGTTTTGTCGAAATAAGTTTTTTTGGTTTGAATAAATTAAGTATGACAATGTGCTTTTGCAAAAAAAATGAGACGAAAAAAAAAGAGGAGCTTCTAGGTCTGTCTTACTTTAACTTTTTTGTCTTTTGCTTAATGAACAACTTGTTTAACGATGTTATCGAAACAAAAATAACTAAATTTAGCACTTAATTTTTTCCACTCCAGTTCGTTCTTTTTTTTTTTTGCTTTATTTTGCTTAACTTTCCACTTTTGTTTTATTCAAGCTATTTCGCAAATACTAAATTTTATTTAACATCGTTTTTTGCTCAAAGAAAATTTATTTCTTCTTCTACCTAAAAGCAGTAGCGGTAGCAGTAGCAATATGGATAATTTAATTCAACTTTACATTCAACTCTCAAAGTTATTTTACTTCTTGTTGCATTGTTTGCTTGTTGTTTCATTGGTTTTATAGAGTTCGGAAAAGCCCCATAGAGATGTTCGAAGGTGGCATCAGTCAAAGTACCAGTAAACTGGATGCGACATTTAAAAGTTGGCTTCTAGGACAGAACAGGTTAAATTTTTGGTCATATTTTTGCTTTTATTACAGCGTGATACCTGTCCTTATCACTTCTTTCCTAAACTAACAATTAGCTACTACTGATACACTAACAGTAATGAACAGTAATTGCATACAATTTTCCCCTCTCCTCCTATTCCAGATAATTTCTTCATTTAACACTAACCCCATTATCTACTGGTATGTATGAAAGTGTTAAAATAAAGGCGAAAACATAGGTATTGGAAGAAAAAGTTAAATTGTTCCTTTTTCCTTTTACCTGTGCTTTTTAAGAAAAACCGAACAGTCTTTTGGAAACTGATTATTTAAATATGCAGCTGAACAAAATTTTTCTTGATACATGATTAATAAGCGTTTACAGAAGTTTGCAGAAATAAGGCACCATATATGGATGGATATATCGTCAACTCCAAACGACAACTCTGATATTTTATGGTCAGTTATGTGTTATTTCTAACTCATTTTTCATCACTTTTATTATTTGCTCACTTTTTACCGTTTTTAATCTATTTTTAACACCTTGAGAAAAAGACAAGTGACAGTAAAAATACGGTTATTTTTGGACAAAAATACAACCTTTCTCCAACCGCTGCAAGTAACATCTGCCAGAAGTAGTGTTTCTCATGATTCAGCCTTTTATCGTTTTCAATCTGTTTTTTTATTCTTAATTAGCAATTTTTAAACCGTCTCATAATTATCCGCAAGCTCATTTCAGTCGTCTGTCAACACTTAATCAAATTTTTGACTTTATTTAAGCCATCCATTAATTCTCTAAATAATCTCAATCAACAAACAAAGAGACAAAAAAATAAAAATTAGTTTTTCTTAACAAACTTGAAGCCCGTTTTCCTTCATCTGACTCTCATACCATTAGTGTTAAACGAGAGAAATTTGAACTAGAAAAACTTACGCGTTTTTTCTGCTTAATTTTTCATTTGCATCACAGAAAAAACAATTTTTTTGACAGTTGTTGGTCAATAATCCCAAACAACAATTTGATGACTAATCTTACAAACAGTAATGCCTGAATAGCACAGTTAAAATCCTGCACTGGTTATAGCCCAAATTAGAGAAAACATTAAAATAAAAATGTAAAGGCCAAGATGAAAATGAATAACTAAACCTCAACTAATTTCACTGCAAAGCGAAAAAGCTTTTAAGACTAGAAATGCAAGAATGTACTCGACTTGAGTAAAAAGCTTTTTTTAATTTCTATTTGTGGCTTTCTCGAAAGAAAAGTGTTCCTTTATTAATCTTCTTTAAACCCATTAAACGTTGAGGTTGTTGCTCAACAGAATGAATAATGATAACTGCTCAATAAAAAAAAAAAATAGATGAAAAAAGTTTGCTAATGCTTAGTTTTGCCAGAAGATTTTGATTGATCCGGTGAAAAAATTTTTTTGAATCACGGCAAAATATTTTTTGATGTTAACAACAGGAATAAAAGTAATAGTAGTAATACCAACTATGATAACAGTAACGGTAACGACAAGAAAAATAAAAAGCGACAGTAACAAAAACATCAAAAAGAGTAAAAAATAGGAATAATTTTAGTAATTATAGCATTAATGACAATACTGGTAATAACAGTAACTTAATATAAAAAGCAATAAACAAAAAAACTGATATAACTGTAGTATGTATAATACAAGTGTACAATAACTAGTAGTTTGCTAATATGGTTGTTGTTTAGTGTCTTCTTTTACAACGCTGCATCGTATATTTTATTCGTCAGCATGACTTCCTTACGGCAGCCAACGGTGACCGTAACGGCAGTGGCGGCAGCGATGGCGCTGCTGCTACCGTTGGTGCTGCTGCTGCTGCCGCTGATGATGATGATGATGATGATGATGATGATGATGATG